TCGGGTGCGTTTTCGTAGCATGCTCGCTTCTAGGCTGCATGCCATTGTGATCTGGAGACGACGACAAGGCACCGTCCGAATGGACACCTATCAATCAACCAGGCCCAACCCAAGCAAAACGCTCATGGATGGGTGCAGAGCAGGATGCTGATGCAAGGTTCACATCAGGCAGTTGCACGTAAGAACTACATATGCAGATATGCAGACAGCAGGTGAAGTGAACATGCGCCATATTACATATCCATCGTACGTGTACGTCGGGTTGTCATGCGAAGCAGATATACGGCACATATTGCTGCTGCATGTTTGTGGGGCGTCTTTGCATTGGCAGCAGGTATTCAGTACCAGCCCTGTCCCGAATTGGAAAACGTTAGATATGTCCAGGAGGGTTTACCCAAATTGTGTGATGCCCCTGTGTGACCAATGGTTACCTCCCAATGGAAAGTGCGCACAGTTCGTTAGCAGCATGTACGACATGCACCGCGCTTGCACCTGTGGCCGAGTGGTTAAGGCGCGGCCCTGCTAAGGCCGTGGGGTCTCCCCGCGTGCGTTCGAATCGCATCGGGTGCGTTTTCGTAGCATGCTCGCTTCTAGGCTGCATGCCATTGTGATCTGGAGACGACGACAAGGCACCGTCCGAATGGACACCTACCAATCAACCAGGCCCAACCCAAGCAAAACGCTCATGGATGGGTGCAGAGCAGGATGCTGATGCAAGGTTCACATCAGGCAGTTGCACGTAAGAACTACATATGCAGATATGCAGACAGCAGGTGGAGTGAACATGCGCCATATTACATATGTATCGTACGTGTACGTCGGGTTGTCATGCGAAGCAGATATACGGCACATATTGCTGCTGCATGTTTGTGGGGCGTCTTTGCATTGGCAGCAGGTATTCAGTACCAGCCCTGTCCCGAATTGGAAAACGTTAGATATGTCCAGGAGGGTTTACCCAAATTGTGTGATGCCCCTGTGTGACCAATGGTTACCTCCCAATGGAAAGTGCGCACAGTTCGTTAGCAGCATGTACGACATGCACCGCGCTTGCACCTACCTGTGGCCGAGTGGTCAAGGCGCGGCCCTGCTAAGGCCGTGGGGTATCCCCGCGTGCGTTCGAATCACATCGGGTGCGTTTTCGTAGCATGCTCGCTTCTAGGCTGCATGCCATTGTGATCTGGAGACGACGACAAGGCACCGTCCGAATGGACACCTACCAATCAACCAGGCCCAACCCAAGCAAAACGCTCATGGATGGGTGCAGAGCAGGATGCTGATGCAAGGTTCACATCAGGCAGTTGCACGTAAGAACTACATATGCAGATATGCAGACAGCAGGTGGAGTGAACATGCGCCATATTACATATGTATCGTACGTGTACGTCGGGTTGTCATGCGAAGCAGATATACGGCACATATTGCTGCTGCATGTTTGTGGGGCGTCTTTGCATTGGCAGCAGGTATTCAGTACCAGCCCTGTCCCGAATTGGAAAACGTTAGATATGTTCAGGAGGGTTTACCCAAATTGGGTGATGCCCCTGTGTGACCAATGATTACCTCCCAATGGAAAGTGCGCACAGTTCGTTAGCAGCATGTACGACATGCACCGCGCTTGCACCTACCTGTGGCCGAGTGGTTAAGGCGCGGCCCTGCTAAGGCCGTGGGGTCTCCCCGCGTGCGTTCGAATCGCATCGGGTGCGTTTTCGTAGCATGCTCGCTTCTAGGCTGCATGCCATTGTGATCTGGAGACGACGACAAGGCACCGTCCGAATGGACACCTATCAATCAACCAGGCCCAACCCAAGCAAAACGCTCATGGATGGGTGCAGAGCAGGATGCTGATGCAAGGTTCACATCAGGCAGTTGCACGTAAGAACTACATATGCAGATATGCAGACAGCAGGTGAAGTGAACATGCGCCATATTACATATCCATCGTACGTGTACGTCGGGTTGTCATGCGAAGCAGATATACGGCACATATTGCTGCTGCATGTTTGTGGGGCGTCTTTGCATTGGCAGCAGGTATTCAGTACCAGCCCTGTCCCGAATTGGAAAACGTTAGATATGTCCAGGAGGGTTTACCCAAATTGTGTGATGCCCCTGTGTGACCAATGATTACCTCCCAATGGAAAGTGCGCACAGTTCGTTAGCAGCATGTACGACATGCACCGCGCTTGCACCTACCTGTGGCCGAGTGGTTAAGGCGCGGCCCTGCTAAGGCCGTGGGGTCTCCCCGCGTACGTTCGAATCGCATCGGATGCGTTTTCGTAGCATGCTCGCTTCTAGGCTGCATGCCATTGTGATCTGGAGACGACGACAAGGCACCGTCCGAATGGACACCTACCAATCAACCAGGCCCAACCCAAGCAAAACGCTCATGGATGGGTGCAGAGCAGGATGCTGATGCAAGGTTCACATCAGGCAGTTGCACGTAAGAACTACATATGCAGATATGCAGACAGCAGGTGAAGTGAACATGCGCCATATTACATATCCATCGTACGTGTACGTCGGGTTGTCATGCGAAGCAGATATACGGCACATATTGCTGCTGCATGTTTGTGGGGCGTCTTTGCATTGGCAGCAGGTATTCAGTACCAGCCCTGTCCCGAATTGGAAAACGTTAGATATGTCCAGGAGGGTTTACCCAAATTGTGTGATGCCCCTGTGTGACCAATGGTTACCTCCCAATGGAAAGTGCGCACAGTTCGTTAGCAGCATGTACGACATGCACCGCGCTTGCACCTGTGGCCGAGTGGTTAAGGCGCGGCCCTGCTAAGGCCGTGGGGTCTCCCCGCGTGCGTTCGAATTGCATCGGGTGCGTTTTCGTAGCATGCTCGCTTCTAGGCTGCATGCCATTGTGATCTGGAGACGACGACAAGGCACCGTCCGAATGGACACCTACCAATCAACCAGGCCCAACCCAAGCAAAACGCTCATGGATGGGTGCAGAGCAGGATGCTGATGCAAGGTTCACATCAGGCAGTTGCACGTAAGAACTACATATGCAGATATGCAGACAGCAGGTGGAGTGAACATGCGCCATATTACATATGTATCGTACGTGTACGTCGGGTTGTCATGCGAAGCAGATATACGGCACATATTGCTGCTGCATGTTTGTGGGGCGTCTTTGCATTGGCAGCAGGTATTCAGTACCAGCCCTGTCCCGAATTGGAAAACGTTAGATATGTCCAGGAGGGTTTACCCAAATTGTGTGATGCCCCTGTGTGACCAATGGTTACCTCCCAATGGAAAGTGCGCACAGTTCGTTAGCAGCATGTACGACATGCACCGCGCTTGCACCTACCTGTGGCCGAGTGGTCAAGGCGCGGCCCTGCTAAGGCCGTGGGGTATCCCCGCGTGCGTTCGAATCACATCGGGTGCGTTTTCGTAGCATGCTCGCTTCTAGGCTGCATGCCATTGTGATCTGGAGACGACGACAAGGCACCGTCCGAATGGACACCTACCAATCAACCAGGCCCAACCCAAGCAAAACGCTCATGGATGGGTGCAGAGCAGGATGCTGATGCAAGGTTCACATCAGGCAGTTGCACGTAAGAACTACATATGCAGATATGCAGACAGCAGGTGGAGTGAACATGCGCCATATTACATATGTATCGTACGTGTACGTCGGGTTGTCATGCGAAGCAGATATACGGCACATATTGCTGCTGCATGTTTGTGGGGCGTCTTTGCATTGGCAGCAGGTATTCAGTACCAGCCCTGTCCCGAATTGGAAAACGTTAGATATGTTCAGGAGGGTTTACCCAAATTGGGTGATGCCCCTGTGTGACCAATGATTACCTCCCAATGGAAAGTGCGCACAGTTCGTTAGCAGCATGTACGACATGCACCGCGCTTGCACCTACCTGTGGCCGAGTGGTTAAGGCGCGGCCCTGCTAAGGCCGTGGGGTCTCCCCGCGTGCGTTCGAATCGCATCGGGTGCGTTTTCGTAGCATGCTCGCTTCTAGGCTGCATGCCATTGTGATCTGGAGACGACGACAAGGCACCGTCCGAATGGACACCTATCAATCAACCAGGCCCAACCCAAGCAAAACGCTCATGGATGGGTGCAGAGCAGGATGCTGATGCAAGGTTCACATCAGGCAGTTGCACGTAAGAACTACATATGCAGATATGCAGACAGCAGGTGAAGTGAACATGCGCCATATTACATATCCATCGTACGTGTACGTCGGGTTGTCATGCGAAGCAGATATACGGCACATATTGCTGCTGCATGTTTGTGGGGCGTCTTTGCATTGGCAGCAGGTATTCAGTACCAGCCCTGTCCCGAATTGGAAAACGTTAGATATGTCCAGGAGGGTTTACCCAAATTGTGTGATGCCCCTGTGTGACCAATGATTACCTCCCAATGGAAAGTGCGCACAGTTCGTTAGCAGCATGTACGACATGCACCGCGCTTGCACCTACCTGTGGCTGAGTGGTTAAGGCGCGGCCCTGCTAAGGCCGTGGGGTCTCCCCGCGTACGTTCGAATCGCATCGGATGCGTTTTCGTAGCATGCTCGCTTCTAGGCTGCATGCCATTGTGATCTGGAGACGACGACAAGGCACCGTCCGAATGGACACCTACCAATCAACCAGGCCCAACCCAAGCAAAACGCTCATGGATGGGTGCAGAGCAGGATGCTGATGCAAGGTTCACATCAGGCAGTTGCACGTAAGAACTACATATGCAGATATGCAGACAGCAGGTGGAGTGAACATGCGCCATATTACATATGTATCGTACGTGTACGTCGGGTTGTCATGCGAAGCAGATATACGGCACATATTGCTGCTGCATGTTTGTGGGGCGTCTTTGCATTGGCAGCAGGTATTCAGTACCAGCCCTGTCCCGAATAGGAAAACGTTAGATATGTTCAGGAGGGTTTACCCAAATTGGGTGATGCCCCTGTGTGACCAATGGTTACCTCCCAATGGAAAGTGCGCACAGTTCGTTAGCAGCATGTACGACATGCACCGCGCTTGCACCTACCTGTGGCCGAGTGGTTAAGGCGCGGCCCTGCTAAGGCCGTGGGGTCTCCCCGCGTGCGTTCGAATCGCATCGGGTGCGTTGTCGTAGCATGCTCGCTTCTAGGCTGCATGCCATTGTGATCTGGAGACGACGACAAGGCACCGTCCGAATGGACACCTATCAATCAACCAGGCCCAACCCAAGCAAAACGCTCATGGATGGGTGCAGAGCAGGATGCTGATGCAAGGTTCACATCAGGCAGTTGCACGTAAGAACTACATATGCAGATATGCAGACAGCAGGTGAAGTGAACATGCGCCATATTACATACGGTGCGGGTCACGTGTGGGGAGATGGGGACCCGCCATTGCTTACGTTGTCCGCTGTGGTGACGCTCGAGCCAGAGCCCGCCGCTGCCAGATAGAGCCAGTTCTAGATCCCGGGAATCTATGAAGGCGATGTGTATGTCCGTAGTGGGGTGATCCGCGGAGGCTCATGCCGCCTGGTTGTTTGGCCGATCGATCCGTTGGCGACCCGCTGCATCGTTCGTTGTATGTTTTGGGCACTTCCTGCTGTGGTGTTTCCTGCTTGCGTGCAGACTTGGTGTATGTTCACTGTAGTTTTTACATTTTATCTTAGTGTCTCGGCCCTACCGACAGGACGCCTGGAATGTCGTGCGGTCATGGCTTGAATTGCCATGTGTGCATCTTCACCCCTGATTTTATACTGTGCACCCTGTGCATTGCCAGCTTTGCTTGATGCGTTGCACGCTGGGGGGGGGGGGGGAGTCCGGGGTATGCATCGCACATGGTTCGTTCGTGTGCAGTCATGTGATCCGACAGCCTTACATACGTATCGTACGTGTACGTCGGGTTGTACCTACCAGCCCTGTCCCAAATTGGAAAAAGTCTACATAAGCGGACGTAAGAACTGATTGAACGTTCGGTACGAACACAAGAAGTAACGAAGGCAGGAGCACGCGTAAACATCGATGCGTGCGCGGGGACGTCTGAAATCCGTGTAATTCACAATGCCTAGTAGATAAAACTTGTATTATATAACTCTATTTATTTTATCGTACAATACGGGTACTTTGCCTTGCTTGTACGTACGTACTACTATGCAAACTAACGCTAGCTGATCGATGTCATCTCAATCGATCGTTGTGCATTTCTGACCTGGCGGTTAATAGCGAGAGTTAATTAATTAATTAATTAATTTTACGCGGAGACAGACTCTCGCGTGTGTTAAGGGGACCGGTCCTAAGGAGTAATTTCTTCTCCGTTCGGTGCGATCACCAGGGTGAATCAGACCTGACGGGCGGACTGATTGATCTGGGACATTTTCTCGAGCGCCCCTGCACGATCCGGAGTTTAGCGGGGCGGACTCACCGTTATTTACCCTGGCTATTGCCAGGGGCCAGCGGCGGGTGGTAATAGCGAGAGTAATCGGGCCAGGGAGCGAGCTGCGTGTGTGCAAGGCGTGTCGCACCGATGGTGCCGTCGAGGACGAGAAGCACTACTACTTTCTGTTGGAGTGTCCTGCTCTCGTGTCCGCGCGGCAGAAGCTTTTCGACTTGGGTGTACCTGATGGAGCGAGTGTTTGCGATGTCATGCAAGTAGACGATCAGCGCGGTCTTGCAAAGGTCGTTTATGACATGTTTTGCTTACGGCGCGAGCGCATCGCCTTGTAGAGTTGATGGCGATTTCTTTCCAGGTCATGTCGCACTTTGTGACGCATCTGTCTTATGTTGTCCTTGTGCCCTTTCTGTTTCTGTTGTATTTCCCTTACTTTTAGTTCCTTCTGCGTGACTGAGGCGGTTCATGAGCCTTCGGGTTCGTTTGAGCCGTACGAGCTCACTGAAGCGTGTAACATCATCATCATCATCATCAATCGATCGTTAGTTAATTAATTACAGAGGAGCTAGGAAAAGTTAGGAAAAGTTTTCAAGACCTATCGGAAGACGTTTCGAACATAAAAACCACGAAGGCAGTTTCGGTTGCCTGAAAACAAATACAGAAAGGCTCGCTCCATATTTTGCAAGGGATAACAATGAATGTGACGCTTCTCTTGCCCGCTCTTGCTACATCATGCATTTGGCGTCGTCGATTCAATTAATTACTCGATTCGATTGGGTTCGTGCACATCCCAATCAATAATGAGCGAGATAAATCACATATAGTGTTCAGTTTATGACGCATTCGCAATGCATATAGCATATGTTCTATAGCATATGTTCTATAGCATATGTTCAGTTTATGACGCATTCGCAATGCATATACCGATGAGATTTTAAAAGATGAATGGATGGTGGGCATGCGAGCTCTTATGATGTTATGAATCTGCGGAGAGAGTCCTGCCTCAAAATATAGAAATTAGTAATTTTGGTATTCAACCTGGTATTCACTCTAATAAGTAAAGAAGCACTTGCACTGGAAGCAAGGCACTGAAAGTCGAGACTGCATCCAAACGACCCGTTAGCTAGCCATCCGTCACGCCACCAACTAACGTCTCGAAACAGTTGTTAGATTTCGGCATTGTAACTCGTTTGGAAGGTAAATAGTCACACTGCTCTCAGTTTTATATTTGTTGCAATTGCCACTTTTGGCAGTTGCGTTCGCTTTGATGTCGGAGACGACGGGCGTTCATGGGGGATAGAAACAGGCGTCGGGAGCTGAAGCGACTGCCATACAGCGTCTGTTCGCGGAGTGGACGATTCGAACCGTGCGACATTATAAGCGTTGCCGAGTAGGGGGCTTTGTGTTGTTAATAACACAAATAAGCCCTTCTTTGCAAAGTGGGCGAGCATTCGACTGTTGCCTTGTGCCATACGTACCTTTCGCCGTTTGTCCGGGTACTTCAAGATGGCCCAAAAGGGCCAGCTTTTGGCAGTCCTGCTTGCAGGGCTGTGCATTCTGGCACCGAGTAAGTCTTTGCGATGATCCTGCCCGATTATGCTGGATGGTAGCGTTTGTTTGCAACGCGTTGCCGAGCCATCTACTTGATGTCACGCGGCCTAACTGTAGCCTTTCCGCAAACATTCTAACGTTTCAGCTACGATCATTTGTTTAAGGCTGAATAAAAACCTCCCGATTAATGCAGGTGCATTTGCCCAAGACGCACCGGCAGCAAATGAGGACGGCGAAGTCGTCATCAGCGTTTACGTCGAAGGTAAATTAATAATTGCGTAATTCCAGCATCATGACTTGCCTTCAATTAAACGCGTGAGGTGCCATTCCATTTGTTCAGACCGGTACCGGTGCAACCGTCTAATCCTTACACATTATTTGGACGGATTCCCTTGAAAGACTAGCTGTTTGCTTGCAAAACAGATCCGCCATGTAAAATACCGGCCTAACATATGATATTATCCAGTTTGCATTTTTCTCTCTACATGACGAGCGACGGAGCTTGCAGCAAACGGTACACTCGCGGCTCGAGCATGCCGCATGAATCGGCACCGTGCCAAATAACAACACCAGAACGGCCTGTTCATCTTTTTCCGACTCCGTCAGACCACCGCCATCATGCATGCCCTACATGCCCTATCCATATATGCCAAACTTCCTCTAGCTATATATCCCGCGCGCTAGCTGCTGCTGTGCCACCGACGCAAACGCTGGCCTCACGTGTGTACGTACACGCATACGTCATCCTGCCTCCACCTGCGTACCCCGGCGATGCGTGTCCATAATGACAACCCTTCTTCACTACGTACGTATGTGTATGTGTACAGGTGTTGTGGTGAACTACATGAACCACTATGATCCACAAATGATGATGACTGCGCCCAATATGACCGTGCATGAGAGCTACCTCGTGGAGACTGTCCCAGCGTCTGACGGAACGAATGCGCAAAAGCACACAGCCGTTGACTTTGGCAGCAAGGCAGCCCAGCTGGCCACCGGCGACAAAATCGTGGCTCAGCTGCAAGTGATGGTTGACGCCAAGAGCGCCGATATGCTGGGCCTCAGTAAGTCGGTCGAGCGACCCCCGCGTATCGTTCTTCATGCATGCGACGACCGATGAACTATGAGTATGTAATACGTTCTGGCTTCCGTCGCAAATGTTGCCTGGCTCGGCAATTCCGGAGCTTATTGGTACTGTCATGCATTTAGGTAGATATATCTATAGCCACCTCGAACGAATCCAGACACGTGTATGTGTGTGTGCGCCGGTTGCCCGTGCGCGCGTACATTTACTCATCATCCGTCCCCTCTCTCGCTCGCTCTGCCCCCGTCTTGCATGCATACACCGACCCGCCCACCCGTGCCCGCAATCGCCGTCCGTCCGTGCGTCCATCCGTTCACACATCTATATATCCCTCCATTAATAATGTCGTCGACCGCAGCTCCGGGCTCCAACGGCCGCCGTCTTCTTAGCGAGGAGCACGAGACCGTCCGTCGCATGGCCCTGGACTTCCACACCACGCGCCGCTCGCTGCAGGAGTTCAACACGCTCTTTGACCTCATCGCTGCCGTAAGGCCGCCGGTAGATGTCTTGGCCGCCGCCGGCGCCACGGATGCGGCCGCTGCTGACGATCAGCCGGTTCCAGTAGCGAAGCCCAAGGCCGTGGACTTTGTCGTCATTGGCAAGGACACTGAGAAGGTCGGTGCGAGCGCATTACCTTGTTTTCTCCGACTTACCGTTATCCAGCTTATCCAGCTCCTCTGTAATTAATTAATTACCGTGCGTTACAGTGAGGGTAGGCAGTAGTAGTCTATCTAGTCGCATTATCAGCTGTACGCACTGTCGTCGCATCGGTGCTCGCGCGCACAGCCGGCGGCGGCCGCTTGCTGTGCTATCTACGTACGTAGTTAGTCTGTCAATGGGCACCCGTTGGTTGGGCGAGCCCCTAGATAGATAGATAGGTCGGTGTGCGAGTGGATTGAGGGGCCGCCGAGGTTCTTAGCGCTGTGCGCTCGCTCGTACGTGCAGGTTAAGTAGTGTGGGGGCTGATGGCGACGGATTTATTTACCTCGCAGCTAGCCACACATACATATATATGCGTTTGGTAACCGCTGTCACTGGATGTATTTGCCGCCAACGAACAACTGACGTTAATTCTCACGCAGACATGATAGCCCCCGCCCGCCGAT